AGCCCGGTCGCGCCCGCACACGCGTAAGATGTGGAGGGCGACGTCGATCTCGGTTATCATCTTCAACACTCTGCGGCCCTTCCTCTCCACCCAACACCGGCGCAGAGAGAATGGCACCTCGGGGGGCGCCGCGCCGAGCCCGCATGGCTGCCCCACCACGTCGCACTCGCAGAACTCCCCCGTGAAAATAGGACTTTTCAAGTGCGAGAAGTTGCGAATCATCGCACAGCCTCCAGGCCCTGAAACCTGGAGGGTCATCATCTTCCCGACAGTCTTGCACCTCGCAGGGGCCACCAACAACCGCAAATCTTCCACTACGCCTTGGTACTCCCCCCGCAAGTCGGCGACGCCGCCAAGGCATTCTGCCGCGCGCGTGCAGCAAGGCCGCTCAGTTGGGAGGCCGCAGCGAATGAGTCCTGGAGGCGCCACAGCAGCATTGTACATTTCGTCAAACGACACGGCCGTGGCTTCCACGAAGGATCCCCTCTTCAGCTTCGCATCGACATGTGCTTGCACGGCTGCGGAGACAAGGTCCTCGGACAAGGGGAACTCGTCTGAGCCGAGACCCCAAGGCCAAGCAGCTTCGTCCGACTGGTCAACGTGGTCGCGACAGATGCGCACGTACTCGTGCAGCGGGTCTGGCTTCATCCTCTCAGCCTTGTTCGCGCGCCGAGCCGCCTCTCTCCAGCTTCGCCTCTCGGCCTCGGATGCAGCCCGCCAGTCCGCGGCCGCCTGTAGATACAGACGCCGCTCGTACTCTCTCGGGTCTGCCCATGGCGCCCGCGGCTGCGAATCTCGCAGATCAGCCACGCGACGGTGGTAAAACATATAATGGCCCAACCTCTTGCGCCGCTGGTTGCCTCCTTTGCCTTGGGCCCAGATCGGTTTCGAGTGGCCGCTCTTCTGCAGGAGTCGGCCCCGCTTGGTGCGCAAGTCGCGCCCGCGGCGCCTTCTCCGCCCCTCTTCGTGACAGCGAACAACCTCGGAGATCACGTGCTTGGCGGAGAGCGTCGCGGCGTTCGGAGGTCTGTTGTTCATCGTCTGGAGGTGGGCTCTCATCCGCGCAAAAGCCAATCCCACGCGCCCTTCAGGGCGCAAGTGGTCTAGGGAGATTCCTCTTCCAACCCCCATTCTTTCCCGTTTGCGGAGGGGTCTACCCCTCTCCCGCGCCCCCTCCCCAGGACCTGGGCGCGGGGGCCCGCAATAGGTTAGAGCGTCAAGAACGGCCCAAGACGGCCCCTAGGGTCGCAGACCGCAGCCGTGAAAAAGCCAACTCGCCTGGGCGACGTTTCTGGATGGGCTGGCGGGGATCTGCGCAACGCCAACAATTCGGAATGCACCGTCGAGGCCATCGCGTACCTAAAGCATGCGGAGAGAAAGCGCTGCACCTCTGGCAGGAAAAGGTCGTCAACGCCCGTGGTGCACATCTTCCTCAGCCTCAAGGAGAACCCCGAGTCCAGGCAACACTCGTTTGCCCGAAAGAGTTCTTCGCCTTCTGCGCGGCGGGCCCCCATGTCCAGGGAGGCGTCCACGAGCCGCATGAGCCTCCATGGGTAACCGCTCAAACGAATGTCGAAGCGACGATAAAAGGACCCAGTGAATACGTGGACGATGGCGTCTGCTTCGCGGAGGACCTCGCCGGGCCAGGACGCGAGGGGGCCGTGCAGGGCAAGCGGCAATCTCCACAAGTCGTAATGTCCAGCTGCAGCGGGGTCAAAGGCTGAGCTCAGCTGAGCGAGCGTGTCAAAGACGACGCTCGCGCAGAATGACGACAGCGCAGACCCCTTGGGGTCGAGCCAGCCATGCAAAGACCCACGTTTGAAACATGCGTAATGAAATCGCATCCCCACGGCGGCCACGGCCACCCACAGGACCAGCCGTTGCCGCGCAAGTAGATCGGAGAGAAACCTCATCATCTTGACGGTGCGAACATGCTGTTCACGCCTGAAATCCCCCAGGCCCGCTGCGCCGCTGCCGCTCTCGAGGCCGCCATCTTCCCGCCGCATGGCGCGCACAGCAGCGCCGCGCGTCTTCTCGAGCGCACGCGGCAGCAATCCATGCAAGGAGATCAACAGCAGCAAGACGCACGCGGTGGGATGCACAGTGTTCCAGCGGTTCAACGCGGGCACTGCCAAACGCCTGCGCAAAGGAACCATCACCGCCGCCACCGCTCTGTCGACAGACTCCTGCCTGTTCGCGCAGCAGTCGCGGCCCCTGCAATGGTGCACAGGCCTCTCTTGAGACACGTCGCCGGTGAACATCTCCTTGATCAAGTCGACCTCTGGCTTGGTGAGGCCTCTACGTTGGCCGCGCGCCGCTGTCACCTCCTCGTCCTCCACGTCCTCATCCATCTGGCGGTCGCAATACCCGAGCAGCATGTCGAGCTTCCCCCTGTCCGCTGGATTCGGCGCGCCCCGCCGCACCTCCAGACCAGCCTCCTCGTCCGACAGGATTTGCCGCAGAGCTGTCTCGAGGGCCCGCAAGTTGGCCCCTGTTTGCAAGTGTCTGACAGTGGAAAACATGCCGCCGACGACCCCCGTCATGTCCCCGACCGACTGCAAACATATTGCGGTTTGATGCTGCAAACAAAAAGAAGGCAACAGGAGGACCCACCAGGGCAACGTCTGCAGCAAATATTTGCACACCAGCCCGTTTGCGGCCACAGAATCGACGCTCGGGGACAAGCACGCCAGCAGCGCCGACGGCCAGAGCTCATCCATATCCACGCGCAACGCCCGCGCGAGGCCTCCGAGCATGCAGTCGGCGGTTGCAGATTCCAGCACGGACGGTGGGAAGATGAGCTCTTGGCTGTGGACGCGGAGGTCCTCGTCTTCCCAATGCAACACGCCGTGCTGTGTCATCACTTGCTGCCCACAAGGAGGCTTGCCGTCGTTCAGCTGCACAGTGAACTTGGTTTCGTCCCACTGCAGATGCATAACCAACCAATTGTGTTCTGCCCCAGGCGCTCTGAGCACTTGGCGCTCTATTTGGACACGTTGGCTGTCGCAATAAAGCTCCGCCAAAGCCGATCTCAATTGGCGAACGAAAAGATGGCTGCCTTTGATTCCGGTGCCTCTGAAAACCTTGGCGACGCCGCTAGCAGCCATCCGCAGATTCTCTTTGCTGAACACTGCGCGGAGCATTGTCCGAGGAAGCCACTGATCCCAGCGAAATCTTGGCGACTTCTTGCGCGGGCCTTCCTGCCCCTCCCCCATCGCGTCCACCTGTCGCTTGGCATTGTCCAAATTGTGCGTGGCCATCTGCGCCTGCAGCTCCATGTCCAGCTGGAGCCGCGCATCGCCCCTAGCCCGACGAGCTGCAGCGGCAGCCGCGCCCAGAGGCACCAGGCCGCGCCTGCCTGGGCGGGGCCCGGGGCGGCGCGCTTCTGCTGCACCTCGAGCCCCGAGCCCGTCGCCGCCCACGAGGCGACCCAACGCGTCCCGAGCAGCTGCGAACAGATCCATTCGGGCACATGACCACCAGCGCGCTGGAGCCACAAGGACTACAGATGCACGGCTCACACGATAGAGGCCCCCAGCCTCCTGCTAGGTTTCTCCTCTTCCTTTTCCTCCTCCTCCTCCTCCTCCTCCTATTCCTCCTCCTCCTTCTCCGGTTTGCTCGACGCGGGCCCGCGCGTCACTTCTCGAGCGGTCACGGGCGCCACCGATGACGCTTGCCACCATGCGGAAGGCAGCGTCGGGTAATGAGCAGGGGTGCTCCCTGGCTTGTCACTCACAGCAGTCTGCTTTCTCCTGCGCCCCCCCCTCCTCCTCCTCCTCCTCCTCTCCTCCGCGTTCGTTACTTATTCCTCCTCCCGCGCCCCCCCCCCCCCTCTTCCTCGAGGCGGCCTGGCGCTACAACGTCTTGCAACGACCACCTTTGAAGCGGGGGTGCCCCCAGCATCCGTTCGCCGCACGGAGTGACCACATAGTGAGTACCTTAGCCTTCGCCTTTCTCTCCCCATCCTCCTCCCGTCCTGGTCTCTTCCCCCTCCCTTCCACCTCGCTTCCTCCTCCCTTGCTCCTCCCTTTCTCCCCCCGTCCTCCCCCCGTCCTCATCCAATCCTCCTCCCTTCCCCCTTGCTCCTCCCTTCCCCCCCCCGTTGGCCCCCCTTCCTCCTCCTGTCCTCCTCTCTTCCTCTTCCCTTCCTCCTCCCTTCCTCATCCCCTCCTCCTCTCTTCCCTCTACCTTCCCCCCCCCTTCCTCCTAGTCGCCGCGGCGCGGCAGGAAACGCATTCACAACAGTCGTTTCAATCATGAGCCGCCGCAGCCGCGGGGTGCGCCACAACCACAAAGGAGGAAAGATGTCCGCTGACGACGACGACGACGACGACGACGACGACGACGACCACGACGGGCTCCACGACGACGACGACGACGACGACGACCACGACCACGACAACGACGTCCACGACGACGACAACGACGACGAACACGACCACGACCACGACGACGACGACCACGACGACGACGGCCACGACGACGATGACAACGACGACCACGACGAGGACGAGGACGATGACGACGACGACGACGACGACGACGATCACGACCACGACCACGACGACGACGACGACCTCGGGAAGCCCTCTACAGATACCCTTGGGGTAATTTTGGGGGAGGAACCTCTTGAAGCCTACTCGGCGTCCTCTCGGGGCCGTCTTGGAGCCCACTGGTGCCTCTTGGAACCTCTGCAAGCTTCCCCAGGCCGCGTTGGGGCTCTGTCAGCCCAGGGTTCCCCACCTCGTTGGGGGTGCTCTGTCACCCGACATCTTCTTTTTTTCATGTGCGAACGTTGCGCACGAAGCTCTCAAAGGAATAATCCGCAGCGAATTGGCGCCGTTCCAAATGCCAGCAATTCGGGCGCGGCTGCTTTGCAGGCCGTCACCAGGAGAGGGAGTAGGGAGAAGCGCGCTGATGCTGCACCAGAGGAGGCGAAGAGGAATGAACAGGTGGCGGGGGCTGCCTGCTAGTTGGACAGCTCGCGGGAAACAGATAAATCACGCCGCTCCGCAAACTTTATAAACATCCTCGACACTCACGTGGTCGACTGGAAGTTTGCCGTCGGCGGGCGGGTACCAGCAAGTGGCAAACAAGCCTTTGTACCGTTGAGCCCTCGACACCATGCAATCGACCATCTGATCGTCCAGGGTCACTGGCGTTTGCACCTCCTCCCTCAGCGCCTCCACCGCCCGCCCCTTGTCGGCGTGGTGGCCCCCCAGAAGCCTGCGCTCTGGATGAAACGGCAACCCCTTGGTTTGCAGGCCAGCCCTGACGAGCTCATTCAGCACGAGTTCGGGCCTGCACACGAGGTCCTCGTGCCGCACGACGAGGACGCGATGGGTTGGAGACGCCGGGCTGCCCACGCCAGTACCGTGGAGCACTGCGGCCATGTAGTGGCACCACAAGTCGAACGCATCCTCGAACTCTGGATCGTAATCGACGCGGCCTTTCGCCTAGGCGGGCCAGCGGACGTGCGCAGGTTCGTCTCTCGGCCCCCGCAAGAGCCAACTCACGTCCCCCATCCTCCGAACCCGCTTCGTGCCGCTGGCAGAGTTCGGCATCAGTTCGTAGGCGCCCTTCGACATCGCCCTGACCCACCTGGGGGAGGGGGATTGCGAGAGCAGCATGGCATGATAGTTTGGGGGAAGTGAGAAGACGGGAGGGCAGGCAGGCTGATACCTCAAAAGCTGGCGCGCTTCTGCTGCACCATTGGCCCGAAAGACCCGTCGGCCGCCTGGTCGGCTCGCGCGTGCACACCAGAACCACCACTGGGCGGCCCTGCTCATCCTCTGGCGGAAACTCCAACGGCGTGAGGAGCAGGTCGTGCTTCCACACGTGGCGGCCGTTGAAGGAGACGCACCCGTCCCACCTGCTCTTGCGCACCTCGACGTCGAAGTGCCGCTCCATGTAACTGTGGAGGGCGTGCGTCCCCGTTTTCCAGAGCCCCTGCACGACAACGCACGGCCGCTGGTACTTGCCGCCTGCATTGAGCTGCAGGTGGTCGTCCTGCATGCGACAGTACCCCACGGGCGTGCCCACCACAGGTACAGGCAGCACAACGTGGATGGACACCTCCTCGAAGTGGAGCGGCTCCCCTGGGCTCCCGCGCGGCACCTGTGACTGAGAGGGGGGGCCAGGCGAGGACTCTCCCTTGGTCTTCCCGTGGCCTTCCTGACCCCCATCATGCCTGATTCCAGTATAACCTCCCCAACCCCCTCCCCTTGGGAATGGGTCGATTTCCACGACGACCAGAGTCGAACGGGGTGGAGGTGTGGTCGGAATCGATCAGGCGGAATCTATTGGAGCCAATTGGAATCGGAATCGATCGCGCTGGGGATCGGATCGAACGCGGGCCCGACGGGAATCGCTCGGCACTCGGGCTCCTCGAAGAAGCCCCGTCAGACGCGTTCGGAAGCGGACTCAGAATCGAGCGGACTCGATAGAAATCGAAATCGGAAACGTCAAAAATCAGACTCGGCTTCGTCGCCCTCGAATTTTGGCCCCGTGTCCGCGTAGCCCACGGCGACGGCGCCCGTCCCCGCGCCGTCGGGCACGGGGGGCGGCGCCGACGCATCGGCAGGCGGCGCCAGCGGCGGCGGCGGCGCCAGCGGCGGCGGCGGTGGAAGCCCAGCCGCTACGACCTCCGCGGTCGCGAAGGCTCTGGCAGCTCTGCGGCGGGCCTGTCCTGCAACGGCGCGCGCTGCAGCGCCACTCGTTCTCTGGTGCGCAGTCCCCCAGTCGGCCGCAAGCGACGCGAAGGCCTCGGCCTCGGCGCTGTCTCGGACGACGCGCCTCTTCGACGCAGGCTCGGGCGGGCCCGCCGGACTGCCCACCTCCGCGTCCGCCTCCGCGTCGGAGCCCTCCACCACGAGCGGCGCCGCAGCAGGCGGCCCTGACGACGAAGCAGCAGCCCCAACGCGCGCGGCAGCACCAGACTGGGCCGCGATCGTCGCGATGGGGATTTGGCCGCCGACAGCGCCAGGCGGCCCCGTCGACATCTCCTGGCCAGCGTCGGGGGCGGGCGGCAGCGCGAGCAACGGCGTCGGAGGCGCGTGCTCGAGCGACGGCGGCGCCCCGCACTCCGACCAGGGCCCGAGGAGAAGCTGCGGGGCGGCCGACTCGCCGTGGATCCACGGCTCAGAGGTGCTGAACACCAGGAGAGTGCGCAAGTCGTCGGCCGCGGTGTCGGGCACGCCCAAAGGCGACCAAGGGTAAGGCTGCATCGGCGTCGGGGGCCCCCTCGGGGGGGCGCGGCGCCCAAGGAGAACCTCGATCCGCTCGTTGATGGCGGAAAGAAGCAGTGCTCGGCCAGCGATGGGAAACCGCCCCTGCTCCTCCGCGCGCGGCGGCGCGCGGCTCGCCAGCTCCAGCTCCATGGACTGCTCGGCCTCGGACGGTCCAGGCGCGGGCGGCTCCTCTGGCAGCGGCGGGCCCGGCTGCTCTGGGAGCCCCTGGCGCACGCCCCCGAACCAGTGCTTCAGCCGCCACTTCACCTGCGAGTCGGCGGGGGGGGGACATGAAGGAGAGAGAAGGGCGTGACAGGAACATGGCGGGCCCGATTTGCAAACTATGCCGATTCACCTTGCTCTCCCGATTCTTGCCGCCCCGCTTGTGCCTCGCCGAAGCGAAACCCTTGGCTTCCCACGGCGGAACGCTCTGGGAGGGGCCGGCGCGCTCGGCTGCACCATGGCCCCCCCCCTCGTCGCGCCATGGAGCCGCGGCGTGCGCCTCCGCCTCCGCCTCCGCGGCAGCGGCCCTGCTGCTCGAGGCGGAGGGCCACCGCCAGGCGCTCCGCCAACCGCTGTCGGAGGCCCAGGCGGAGGACCGCCAGTCGCCGTCGGAAGACCACGCCCCGCTCCACCAACCACCCCAGGCCATGGCGTCTGCCAGGGGCAGCGGCAACGGGAGCTGCGAACGCGCAGCGCGGCAACACGTGCTCGCTGCTCGAACCAACGCAGCAGCAAGGAGCGAGAACGCATGCATGACGCCTCTTCCCCCTTTTCCCGTGTTCCTTTTCCTCCTCTTCCTCTTCTTCCCTCTCCTCCTCCTCCTCCTCCTCGTCTTCCTCCTCCCCCTCCCCCCCCTCCTCCTCATCCTCCTCCTCCTCCTCCTCCTCCCCTCCTCCTCCTCCTCCTCCGTCCTCCCCCCCTCCTCCTCCCCTCCTCCTCCTCCTCCTCCTCCTCCTCCTCCTCTCCTCCTCCTCCTCCTCCTCCTCCTCCTCCTCCTCCTCCTCCTCCTCCTCCCTCCTCCTCCTCCTCCTCCTCCCTCCTCCTCCCCCCTCCTCCCCCCCCCCCTTCCTACTCCTCCTCCTCGTCCTCCTCCTTCTCCTCTTCATCCTCCTCCTCCTCCCCCTCCTCCTTCCCTGGCCGCTGGTGGACCCTGCCACTGCCACTGGGACCTTCACCGGAGCTCCCTCATTATGGGGCCACGGAGCGTGCGAGAGATGCGCCGGAATTGACCTGCGGAGAGCGGCCGCAAGGATGGGAGGAGGGAGGGGGAGAGGGGCCCGATACACTCATAAACCCAGATACTTTGAACAAAAACAAGCAACAAAAAAACACATAAATTCAAATTATTAATTAATTAATGGAATAAATTTTAAAAAATGAATTTCCAATGACAAACCCAAATAAACAATGTAAAATCTGAATAAACAATAGAAAATCATAATTTTTGAATTTCCGGTTAAAAATCTCACTGGCGAATAGATTTCCTTCCCTACAGGATCCTTGAATCATCCGAATGGACAACCTCAGGCCAGGTCGGAAAAAACGCATACATGAACCCAGAAGTATGAGGATGTCTCAAGCCAAACCCGCCCGACCACCTTCCGCGTGACACTTCCGAACCCAGATTTGGATGATTCTGGCGAGGCTGTCCAGACCACCTCCTCTCTGCTAGTCCCGAGTTGCGAGGAGGTCTCAGGCGAAGCTGGCTGGACCACTTCAGGCCAAAGCGTCTCCGAGCCCAGTTGCGAGGACGTCTCAAGCAAAATGAGCTAGGTCAGGGCATCTTCGAGCCCAGAATTGCGAGGATGTCTCAGGAGAAACAGACTCAGACCACGCGAAATCAGGGCATCTACGAGCCCCCGGTTGCGAGGACTGTCTCAGGCGAATCGGGCTGAAATTGGCTGTACGGTCAGGGCACCTGTGAGCAAGTAGTTGCCAGGAAGTCTCAGGTGAACTGGTCGAACCCAGAATTGCGAGGATGTGTGAGGTAGAGCTGGCTGACCACTTCAGGCCAGGGCATCTCCAAGCCCAGAGTTGCGAGGATTTCTCAAGCGAGATGGGCTGGACCACCCCAGGTCAGGGCATCCCTGGGCCCTGAGTTGCGAAGGTGTGTCAATCGAAACTTGACGGAATGCCTCGCGTGGCATCTGGAGGCCACAGTTGCGAGGATGTTTCAAACGAATCGGACTGGACGACCTCTTGCGCCACATCTTGAAGCCCAGAATTGCGAGGATGTCTCAGGCGAAACTGGCCAGCATACTTCGCGCGCGGCGTCTCGTAAGCCAGAATTGAGAAGATGGCTTAGCCGAAACGGACCGGCTCGCCTCTCGCGCGGGGTCTCTGGGCTCTGAATTTCCAGGTTGCCTAAGGCCAAATTGGTGTGACCACCTCAGCTGAGGCTAAGTTCAGGCACAGAACTGTGACGATGTAAGGACTTGCGAAAACGATGTTCCCTCCTCCGCCTCCTCGGTGGTGTTGATTTTCAGAGGCCTGCAAATGCCGCAACTCTTGCTCCTCAGATGCTGTTGCTGCTTGCGTTGCGCAAGCAACCCGAACGGGAGCGAGGATGATGATGACAGCGTGCTAAAAGATAGTGATAGACTTGACTTTTGAGCACGCTAGAGCTGTCAATATTCCTGGAAGTGGCATCGGACACAACTACCTTGCAAAACCCCCCAGAGTGCCGCACCCCCCCGCACAACCTCACAACCCCCTTGCACATACTGTGCGAACTTGCTTTCTAGGCGATGTAATAGACAAGACGATGGCCGCTGCCAGGACTGGCGCCCGCTCCGATGAGGTCAGCGCAGCACGAATCGCGCCGACGCCAGTGGCCAACGGAGCGCTTGGGGCTGCCGGACCCTTGGTCGATCGGTGGGGGGCGGAATTGCAAGTTGCAAACCACTGGCCAAGGCCTGATGCTGCTCAGCGCCGCAGTACAGGGCAATGACGCGGTACTCGTCACACTGTTCGCGCCGCTCGTGGATGCGAGAAAGTCACGCCCACGCTGTTCGCCCCATACTGCGATTATGGATGTTGTCGCGATCGGCTGAGAGATACCGCATCATCCGCTCGAGAAAAAGGTATCCCCGGTCTCGCGCTGAGGCAGCTCTGGAGCACAATATGCTGCGCAGGCTACTGACAAGCACAGGCACGAAATGACCCATGGAAGATCCCGTTCGGATTCGAAGATCGGTGTTGCAGGCAGGTATTTTCGTATCGCCGTTCTGGCGGGATGCCGTACAATTTCCATCTGCGTATCCTGCTGCATCGCCTCGCTGAGTGCTCGATGGTACGACGTGTGTGTGTGTGTGTGTGTGTATGTGTGTGTGAGATTATGTGTGCGTTTGTGCATGTGTGTATGTGGGGGAGCAGGCATCCAGCGACAGAGATCTGCCTGCGATTACCTGGAAGCCCACAGCGGAACGCATTCATGAGAAGAAAGCGTTGTTGACCAAGTATCGCCGACACCCTGTCGTAGGCCATGCCACCATAATTGCATATTCCGTATGGAAATCTCCATATCGGTGGCAGTCTGGGGTCAGGTACCTTACAGAAACATGAAACTTCTGCAGGGTTGCGGCCTCGGTGGTGCACCCAGGCATCTAATATGCGAGTGAACTTCCTGTTGGACTCCTCCTGCTCATCCTCCCCACTGGCAATCTCATCCTCCAATCTTTATGCTCCTTCTGCTCCTCCCCATCCTTTTCATCCAGCTTCCTACTTTTCGTGTTGGTACCTTCGCCGCCTCGCCGCCCTCTGAGGGGCCTAAACCATCGCCACACAGCGCCTGTAGCAATGTCGCCCAGATCCAATGCTACCCAACTAGCTCGTGTTTCCTCGAGCTCCCAGGTGCCTTCACGACCGCTCCCAACACAACCCTCCTTCGAGTGCTCAAGGACCCGTCCCTGGGACTCGGGTGGTTGGCCACCTCCCGGCGTCGTCAACAGGTTGTGGCTCTTCGATTGTATTTCAATGCTGCTTTAGCTTAGGTGAGAGAGCGCGTTTCACGGGCGCTTGCCTTGGGAACATTCGGCGGCGCGCTTCGAACCGGGAAGTGGGCCCCCCCCCTCCCCCCCAGCACTTGACGTTGTGGATGCCATGACAATGGACACTCTAAAAATCTGATTATTTGATTAATAATGTGTTTCACATGTGTAAACTATGTTGTAAACATGTTTAAAACATGCTTCTACACATTTAAAACATGTTTGAAACATGTTCTGACATCTGGAAATTATGTGGCAGCATGCTTCCTCTCCATTAATCGACTTCCACAAACTTGGCGCCGTCGATCAGAATCAGGGGGATTCCGCTCCCCCCTACCCCCACCCTTCCCGAACCTCCCCCCTCCCCCTCCCAAGGAGGGTGGGGGGTCCAAACCCACCCCCCCAGCGCTGGCACCGGCGCCGGCGCTGGCGGCCGCCAACAGCGCCGACGGCGGGGACGCAACGACGATGACCGCGGTCCCAGCTGGAAATCAGGAAGCTTATAATGATTTGAGATGGCGGGCTGCAACGCACACTGCGGTGGCAGGGGGTGGATTGCCCAGGGGGGTGGTGACCCTCCCTCTCCTCCTACTCGGGGGAAGGGGGAGCGGAGGGTGCCGACGCCGACGCGCTCAAACGACAGGTATTTCTATCAAGGTGCCCTCTGTGCAGGGTCGAGATTCCCCCTCGGTGCCAAGCTAGCTCGACTTCGGACTACTCGGGTAATTCCCCCCCCGGCGCCGGAGCTGGCGCCAGCGCTGACGGCGGCCAGCAGCGCCTACGGCGGGGAAGCAGCGGCGATTACCAGAGAGGGCCCAGAAGCCGCAGAGGGAACACACAAATCGCCATATCGAGCTTTCGCCCCCTAGAAGCCACCGAGAGGCCCTTCGGAAAGTCCACGAGGCATCACACATGCTCCTCATACGCCCCCGAGACGCTTCTGACGAGACCTTGAGAGGTGTCTATTAGAACTCTGACGCGAAGCCGAGACACGGTGGCGGGACACCACCACCACCACCACGACCACCACAACCCACCACTACCACAACCACCACCATCACAACAAACCACCACCACAACCACCACCAAAAACGCCAGCACCACCAGCACCACCACAACCCACCACAACCCACCACAACCACCACCACCACCAAAAACACCACACCATTACCAGCACCATCGCCACCACAGCCACCACCACAACCATCACCACAACCTTCCACCGTCACCACCACAAACCACCACAACCACCACAACCAATACCACCACCACCACCACCTCAACCCACAATCACCACCACCACCACCAAACCACCACACAACCACCACCACCACAGCCACCACCATCACCACTACAACAGCAACTCACCACCACAACCACCACCATCACAATAACAACAGCCCACCACTACCACCACAATCTACCACACCACCAAGCCACCACAACCACCACAGCCACCACCATCACCACCACAACAGCAACTCACCACCACAACCACCACCACCACCACAATAACAACAACCCACCACCACCACCACCACCACCACCAAACCACCAAACAACCACCACCACCACAGCCACCACCATCACCACCACAACAGCAGCTCACCACCACCGCCACGACCACCACCACCTCAACCCACCACACCAACACCACCACAACCCACCACACCACCAGCACCACCGCCACCACCACCACCAGCACCATCTCCACAAACCACCACCACCACCACAACCACCGCCACCGACATTACCACAAACCACCACACCACAACCACCACCACCGCAACCACCACCACACCACCACCAAACCACCACCACCACCAGCAGCCACCACAACCACCACCACCACCCACCACCGCAATCACTACCACTTCAACAAACCACCACAACCATAACCACCGCCACCACCACCACCACAGACCACCACCACCACCACAAACCATTACACCACCACCACCACCACGACGACCACCAACCACCACCAGCACCACCAAACCACCACAACCACCAAACCACCACCACAACCCACCACCGCCACAACCACCACCACCACCACAACCCACCACCACCACTACCACCACGACAAACCACCACATCACCACCGCCACCACCACCACCACCTTAACCCACCACCACAACAACTACCATCACCACCGCCACCAGAAACCACCGCACCACCACCACCACCACCACAACCTGCCACCACAACCACCACAACAACCACCACCGCCACCACCACCAACTACCACACCACCACCACCACCACCACCACCACCACCACCACCACTGGCACCACCACCACCGCCACAACAACAACCACCACCACCATCACCACAGCCCATCACCACCCCAACCTCAGGAGATGCCCCAAGAGACGCCCAAGAGGCGCCCAGGAAGCCTCACACATGCCCTTTCTAAGGCAGGGCGGCGAGATGGCCAGAGATGGATTTTCACCACGCCGCGTCGCGCACAGCCTGCCGCTCCGAAGGTTTCGCGCCGCCAGCGGCGGCAGTGGGCCTCGCTCGAGGACCCTGGCTTCCAGGGCGCCCGAAACTTGAAAGCAGCGAGTGCCAGCTCCAGGGGGGGGACATGCGGGGGGCGGTTTGGGGAGCATGAGCCCATGTGTGTGAGACAGAATGTTGCCGGGTCTACTCTCGCAGCTCTGAACGCACACCTCGCTGTCCCACTCCCCTCTGTCCCGCCTAGGCCCTTGGGGGGGATTTTGAATTCGCGGCCCTATCTGCGCGCGCACTAAGAAACCCCGTTTGCAAACGCGCATTCTAAAACAGAGCGACGGGATGGCCAGAGATGGATATTCACCGCGCCGCGGCACGCGCAGCCTGCCATTCCGAAGGTTTCGTGCCGCCAGCGGCGGCAATCTGGGCCTCGCTCGAAAATTGAAAGCAGCGAGGGCCAGCCCCAGAAAAAAACGCCCACGAGCCCCGCGACCTCGGTCCACGCATGAAGATTTGGATTTGGGAGGGCGGGGCGCATTAGCATAATCTGATGGGCGAGGGGGGGGAGGACGGGGGAGACACTCTAGCACCGGGCAGGCAGGGCGTGCGTCGGCAAGGCCGTCACGTCTCCTGGCTCGTCCATGGGCGCCGCGGCCTGGGAGCCGAGGGGTCCGACGATCTTCGCGGCGGCCTGGCTGGCCGCACTCAACGAGCTGATCTGAGGGGCGCCTCGGATAACAACTTGGACATCATGTTTGGCTTCTCGCCCCAACTGCTTGACTTCGGGCGGTAGCTTCGAGTTGTGAACAATGAATGAGCGTGGCTTGCTGTATCTATCCATGATTTTACTTTGGGCCAACCGGCCTCTCCTCTGAATTTCGCCGATGGGGCGCCTCTTGTACAGGATGTCGCGACTTGGCCCGCTGCGTCTCAACGCGTGCGTAGGCCCGACCCAGTTCATGTCTTTATCCGCCAAGATCTTTCGCAGTGCAACTCCTGCCTTTGCGGCCGTCGTATTGAATTGAGCTCGACCTTCGGCGCGTCTTGCACTCGCTCTGCAATCGTAGTGGCGAGCCCAAGGTCATCGATAGAACGCCTTGCTCTTGGTCGGTATTCGCGCTCTCCTCTGTGGTGTCGCCCGAGCAGAAGCGCAACTTTGATTGACCTCGGATCTGCTGGATCTCGATAGCTCACACGCACGTCCTCCGTTCTCAACTGAAGCCAGTCCTGCTCTCGAAGATAGCAATCGTAGGCCAGCAAGAAGGCCATCCCTTCGTCCAGAGGCCGGGCCCCCTTCCCGCGCCTCCTGGTACCTCTCCCAGCTGTGCAACGCTCTCTGGGCAGTCGGCATCTCCGACTTCCATTCTGGGTAGATGTGCATCGAGCCGCGGCACAGCATGGTGCCCTGGTTCAGGGGAGCCCTCTCCACGAAACATATGTTGTCCAGCTCGGCGGCCGCCGTGATGTCCCGTTCGCCCGGGCTGGATGGTGGAAGACGTTTCCTGTGCACCTCGCGAAGGGCGCTCCACTTCCGTGATGTACTGCATGTTGGCGCCGTCCTGCTCGGCGTGGATCAGCAGCCTGAATGGCCGCTCCAGCTTGTCGTCTCCGAGGGAGCTCCTGCTGACGGGGCTCTCGATGGCTGCGCTCTCGAAGGCTCTGGGGCCTGTCTTCTTCGTCGGGATGTCGGGTCGACGGCGAGCGCTGTCTTGCTTTCCCGCAATGGAAGCCTTCTTCCTGATCGAGCCCTATCTCTCTAACTTGATGTCCTCCGCAGTAGCCCCTGAAGGTATGTCTAAGTCATCGCCCTGGTTCTCCATGTCTTTTTCATGCCACTCATCTGCTTCGGCGTCTCGCGGCCCCTGGCTAGCGGCACTGGCAACGAACGCGTCGCAGCATATCACCGAGAAACACATCACACTTATAGATGCCAGGCCTGGGCACAATCGGCGCGCGTGCCCTTTATCTCGATATGGTCGCCCAGGGGCCCCTCGAACGGGTGCTCGGAATCCAGGGCGACCTTCTTCTGCTAGGCCTTCGTCTTGGTGATCTCGGCGCTGCCGGTGCTCTTTCCTCTCGACGGGCCGCCCGCTGGGTTCGTGTCCGTAGGTGTCCACCTCGACGTCGGCCTCGCGCCCATCGCTAGGGCGACGGCGCCAATCTTCCTCATCTGCGTCGTCAGCGGGCGGGATGAGCCCCT